CAAGCAGGCCGGCCTTGGTGGCGCGTACCAGCAGGTTGGTGCGCTCCCGCTGCTCTATGCCGCGCAGCTCTTCGGCGGCCAGCGCCCGCGCCACGCGCCGCGCCAGCATGAAGCCCGGCGCCAGTGCAAATGCCAATAGCCCATAAGGCAGCCAGTAGCTGCCCAGCAGGTGCCTGAAGAAGATCCAGTCATGGCCGATGGCGACCGCCACCGCCACAAAGCCAACCAGCAGGATGGGCGCGCTGCCCCGCCAGCGTGTGCGCATGCTGGCCCGGGTCAGCACATAGGCAATATAGGGCGTCAGCACGACGCCAAAAACAACCAGCCCCGGCACCGACAGCGTGAACACGCTGCCCGGCGTCAGCACCGACAGCAGGGCACCGGCCCCACCCACCCAGCTCACCGCCGTGATCTGCCAGTGGCCGAACTCGCGCGGGTAGGCTGCGTGTACAAACCGGGCGAACATGGTCAACCCGCCGTAAAAGCTCAGGAACATCAGGCACAGGTACCAGTCCCAGCCCAGCGGCCCGAGGATGGGCAGCGCCGCGCGTTCGCCCGACATCGCAATGAACACGCAGCAAGACAGGCAGAACAGGCCGAAGTAAAGCGGCGCGGGTTCTTTCCTGCGCCAGACAAAAAACAGGATGGGCAGCACGCTCAGCAGCGCCAGGCCGCCAAACGCACCCATGTCGCGCACCAGCCCGGCCTCGCGGCGTACCTGCATCTGCGCACTGCTGCCCAGCTGAATGCCGCGCACCAGTCCGCCGCGGCGGTGGTCGAAGTTGGAGACGTGCGCCACAACGTTGAGCGGGCAGCGTGCATCTGCCAGCGGCACATACTGCTGCGCAACTGCCGGGTCAGAGCTGTCATCGTCAATGCCAGGTTTGCCCTGGTGCGCCACCTCGCGGCCATTGACAAACATGCGTACCGAACTGTGCTGCACCGGAAAAGCCATGCTAAGGCCGGTAGCGCTGTTGCAGCTGATGTTCAGCCGGTAACTGGCATAGCCGTCTGAGCCCAGCGTTTTTCCATCGACTACAGTACCGGCCCACGCTGCAGGCAAATCAGCAAACAGGCTGGGCACGCTTGACGTTGCGGCAGGGTCTATGAACTGCCGCCAGTAAAAAGCCCACTCGCCGCCCAGAAACACCGGCCCGTCGCGGTCGAAGTTCCACTGTCGAAGATCGAGCTCGCCGGCTTTGGCCACCGGTTCGGGGATATCGTTGCGCGCTGCTTCTGCCGGCCCCTGCAGGGCAAAAAAGGCCGCCAGAAGAATCAACAACTTTGTGAGTACGGCGCGAACAGCCGGGAGCGTCAAAGGCATGGC